CTGCCAATGCATCTTTGCCCCCCATGATGATGTCACAGCGGGTTATTGCACCCAACCCTGCCCAGCTTCAGGGTCAGAGAATGCCCTCCAAGCCTGGCATGGGCCGCTCCTCCACGGGCGGTTTGGGTAATGCAGTGAGCTATCAGCAGGTACGCTCAAACACATTAGACCTAATTCGTTTTGTGGTTTTTCTCCCTGCAATTTATTGACGTAGAACTTTTAGACAATTATACAATGTGAGCAGAACAGATTATGACCAGATAAAAAGCTGAGCTGTGTCACATTTGTACTTTGTTAAAGGCTTATTTCAAAAGACTGAATTTATAAACTAAGGCTGCGTGATATAGTAAAGTATTTTCAGGCTTTTGACAAAATATACACTAACGTTTAAAAGTTGTGGGTAACATTGTTGACGTAATATGCTTATTTAAAAAGAATGCATTAAATTGATCAAAAGTGACAGTAAAGAATTCTTTTGAACTTTCTATTCAAAGATTCCTGAAAAATATATCGCCGTTTCCACAAAAAAAATGAAGCAGCAGGATTTTATTTATTTAAATTCAGCTTTGCATCACATGAATAAATTAGATTTTATAATATATATATATATATATATATATTTATTTATTTATTTTTTTTAAACAAATGCAGCCTTGATGAGCATCTTTAAAAATATTAATGGTACTGTGTGTGTATATATCTCAGTATTTCTATATTCATGAATTTCCTTAAAAGGGTGTCAGTTTTTTTTGTTAATAGGTAACAATTAAATTCAAAATAATCATCACACTTCTTTTTTTTTCTTTTTTGTGTACACTATAGTTTTACTATGTGCTAAATTTGCTCAACTTTTTTCTTTTTCCGCTTAGATTTAAATTATGCTTTTAAAATTTCTCCTCCTCTGGATGGTGCATAAAACAAGCCGACTGGAACGGCCCTTGACTTAATAGCCAAATAAAAATTGTGCATTAAATCACAGCAATATTCATAGTGTTTAGTTTTATATCGCCAACAAAATCATATTGAACATGTCGTATATTTAACAAATCGCCCAGTCGCAGCATGAATCATTGATAAAAATGGCTCATGTGGGTCCTGATGATTTGCCCTTTTGCTCTGTGTGATGCAGGCTGCCAGCCAGCAGGTGGGGGTCTCGCAGCGCTCGGGCTCCTCTGCGATCTACATGAACCTGGCACACATGCAGGCAGCGGGAGCTGGCGTCGGGGTGGGTGTCAGCGGGGTCGGTGCCGTCAGCCCATCCACCCTATCCAGCGCCTCCAGCGTCGCTTCTCTGAACGACCAGGCCAGCAGCCAAGCAGCCGCTAAACTGGCCCTGCGCAAACAGCTGGAGAAGACCCTGCTGGAGATACCTCCACCTAAACCCCCAGCACCCCTGCTGCACTTTCTGCCCTCTGCTGCCAACTCTGAGTTCATCTACATGGTGGGGTTGGAAGAGGTGGTGCAGAGCGTCATTGATAGTCAGGGTGAGAGCAAGAGGAAGAAACAACACCACAAAAACTGTTGCACAATATGGAAACACAATATAGTTTGAATTGCAGTATGATACACATTAAGTCACATTGCAGGGTGTGTTCACACTTTGCAGGTTTGGTTCGATTAAAATGAATTTGGTTCATTTGAATAAACGTGAACGCAGCCATCTGAACCCTGGTGTGCATCACAAACAATTGGGCGTTCAATCGAACTCTGGTACGGTTTGACTAAAATATGAACGCGACACAGACTAAAGACATCTAAACGAACCAAAAACAGGACATGATGGCACAAGATGCGGTCCTGCGAAGGACAGATTGCTCAAGCATACCTGGTTGTTCTCGCCACAGTCGCAATTCTGCCCATTTACAGTTCAGTACAGGCGCTGGAAACGCGTCTCCTTGCAGCAGGTCTTCGTTGTGTGCATAACAGGAATTCCTGGCGCTGTTTTGATTCCTTTACACATTTTATATGTTGGTAAAAATGCCATTATATGTACATACAACTAGCACATTTAGTCCAGAAAGCAGAATAATTTTGGATGTTCCGTAAGTTTTTTCAGCTCGGTCTTTAAAATGGCTCTGTGAACACAAAGCGAACCAGACCTAAATGTAACGTTTTTATTTTTATTGGTCCGGTCCAAGAGAATCGAACTAAAAGTGTGAACACACCTGTAAAAAAAACAAAGCGGCACAAGTCATTTAATCCACAGATAAATTTGGGCAAATAGAATCATTTGCCGGTCACACTCGACCCAAAAATAAAACCATACTTGTGATTTTATTATACCACATTTACTCGGTTCAATTTTGTGTGTTTGTAATTGATCAGGTAAAATGCGGGGGTCACTGCCACACGTGGAGCCGTTCTTCTGTGCCCAGTGCAGGACTGACTTCACCCCACACTGGAAGCAGGAGAAGAGCGGCCGCATCCTCTGCGAGCAGTGCATGACGTCCAATCAGAAGAAGGCCTTGAAGGCCGAGCACACCAATAGGCTGAAGAACGCTTTCGTCAAGGCTCTGCAGCAAGAACAGGTCAGTCGATATCTGAGTTTTCATTTCACTGCTGGAAGTAGAGTTGTCATGATGATATCAACATTTCTGCAGTCAGTAACAATGAATGTGATGATTCTCAATAAAAGTTCCAATACTGCACTACAAACTCGAAAAAAGCTAAAAATCGTCATAAAGCAGGAATGTTCCATTAAAAAAAAATAGAAATGTAGTAACTTAAGTATTCAAAATGAAATAAAATAAATGCATTTGGGGCTCTGAAACGATTAATCGGGATTAATCGCATCCAAAATAAAAGTTTGTGTTTACATAATATATGAGTGTGTATAATTACTTTGTATATATAAATACACACACATGCATGTATATATTTAAGAAATATTTGCATGTATATACTTAATATATATGTATACAAAATTAATATTATACATAAATATACATATTTGATTATATTAATAACACATTTTTCTTAAATATATACATGCATATGTGTGTATTTATATATACAAAATAATTATACTCTCTACACACACATATATTATGTAAACACAAACTTTTATTTTGGATGCGATTAATCGTTTCACAGCCCTAAAAAAATTATAATATTAATAAATACTATAATAGTATACAAATAATATTAATATAATACTTGCTGAAGAATTGCAGAAGTAAAATGGTAACAAATTAATTGAAAACGATGACATACAGCCACATATATTTCTTTAAGTAACATTTTCTTAATACAATAATAGTATTTGTTCTTTGTTTTATTTGTCTTTTATTATTTATATTGATTATCATTGATTATTATTGGTTTAATACCGACATTCCTAGCTGGTAGTGTGTGTGGTAACTGTAGTTTGTGTGACTGTACGCTGACAGGAAATCGAGCAGAGGTTGCAGCAACAGGCCGCTCTGTCTCCCAGCTCCGCCCAGACCGTGCCCAGCGTGAGCAAAGCGGAAACCATGATCCGACACCATGCCCTCCGACAGGTAAACCTCTCAGTGTGTCCTAATAATGGCATCTCTTGAGAGCATTTTTATGGATTTTTTTTTTTATTCTGGCCTTTCAGCTAATCACAGATTTTAACGACTGATGATTCAGTGTCAATTTAATGGTGCCAAAAGGTGTCGTGAAATTCAACTCTGATTTTCTCTCAGACTCCCCAGCCACAGGCCGCTCTACAGCGGAGCCTGTCCAGCTCAGCACGAGGAGTCCTCTCTAACTTCGCCCAGGCCTCCCAGCTCTCGGTGGCCAGTGGGCTGCTGGGTATGACAAGCAAGCGCTGTGGCAGCAGCAGCAGTTCCAGTGGCGGCAGTCGGGCCCAGCATGACAGCCGCAGGCAGATCTACAATATCCCTGGTGAGATGATACGTCTCAATTAACAGTACACCTTAAAGAGGACCTATTATGCTTTGTTGCATTTTTACCTTTCCTTAGTGTGTAACTTTGTTTTTTGTGCATGACAAAGCTCTGCATAAAACAAAGTCATTTCAGAGTGAGTTATTCTCTATGTCAGTGTCACTGATTCTGAACTCGCCGAAACGCCTTCAGTGTAGAGGGTGACACGGGAGTGGATTTTCAAACCTCTCCAGTCCCACTTCCATTAAAAAAAATTCCTGTTTCTGGCTCAGGATGCTAAACCATCCAGATTAGAGCTAACAGCATATTATACAATTTATTCCATGCTGTCTTAAAATGAATTTATTGCTTAATCTAAATTTAATTTATGCAGTAATTAATCTTAGCTATTAATACCACATCTAAATGAAAATAGGCTACACCATTTCAAATGTAACTTCTGTATTCAAAATCTTAAAAGTTTGTAAGCATTACATTTTTAAAAGTAAAAGCACAACATATTTCTTAATATTAGCTACTGCATGTGGCATTTTACAGATAAAATGTTGAAGTTTATCCGTTTTAACTTCTGTAATCATTAAAAATGTAGAAAATCATTAAAAAATCACTTCCTATCATCCCTAGCAAGTAACTTGCAAAGTAATTTCTGATTAAAGCAGCACTATACAGTTTTTTTTTACCTTAAAGGTGATGTGACTTCTTGCTGACGTTTAAAGTGTTTTCAAACAAAACGGAGGCTAGACAGACCCTCCCTCCTCCTCATCTGTGCACTGACCCCCCAAACCCCACCCCCAGGGCCTTCTTGTCAGTTATTGACTGGAACAGTTTGTTACGTTTCGTTGACGGGTTACCGCAGTTTGCAGTTACTCTAGGGGTCACAGTTTGACAAAAACGGAAATCCTGCATAGTGTGGCTTTAATTCGGTTCGGGAGTAGTAGAGATAAAAGCCCGTCCGCACTGACAATTGATTGGTTGGGTCCTTACATGCGCTTAGTGAGGTGCACACACACAAGGTCTCTCGCTCTCTCCCTCTCTCTGCCGTGCGCACGCTACACATGCTCGCTCTAGATTCCGGGAGATTTTTACTAAATTGCGGCCATCAATATGCGGGAGACTCCCTGAACTTCCGGGAGACTTGGGATATCTGTGACTGCTTGTGTAGTGTGTTTTCTTCTTCTGGGGCAGACTGGGACCAGTCACAATATTCCTCATTTTTAATAATTCCCGCCCAAGGCATATAAAAATTAAAAATAATTTCGTTGAGATGAACTGAAATTCTATAAAATATATTTTAAAAATGTGGTGCAATTAATTATAGAAAAATGTGCAATTTATTTAAACAATCAATAGTGTGCCGAAGTTATGACGTCACTTTGTAGGCCAAAACGCGGAAGTCAGTTAGCATTTTCTATGGGATTTTGCTTAATCGCCTGAAATAAGGTCTTTGGTGAACAAAGCCTCTAGATATTTTCACGTTTTGATCTATGACATAGAATACACGGTTATAACCTGCTTGTGGTCTTTAAATTTTATTGTGTCTGCTTGTGTTTATATAGGCTTCAAAATGTATACATTTTGGATTAACTTGTAAAGATTATCTTGACAGACAAAACGTGTAAGGGTCACAACTCTTTGTTAAATACAGATCTTATTTTTTTGTGATTTTCCAAAAGTCTATGGGGAAAATGCATAGCTTTTCAATCGAGGGAACCCATGCGCCGCTAGCTTCCGAGGTGACATCATCACTTCGGTACTTTATAGCACTAAAAATAAATATTATTCAAATTTAATGTAATTTACTTTTTATTTCAACGCATTTTAATTTGATTTAAATTCCGCTTACCCCTTATTTTATTTTTTATTTTTATATTTAATTTTATTGGCATGATTGTCTGGGTTTGATAGGATCCGTTTTTTTTTTTCTTGGTGAGAATTGTTATTATTGGAGTGTATGTCAGGAACTCATTTGTGGAGCACCTTTTTTTTCCCTTTTACTTATCCCGGCCCCTCTTTGTCTTTCTTCTCCATCGCAGGTCTGAATATTGCCTATCTAAATCCTGGAGCCATTGGGGGCCACAAGGCATCCAGTCTAGCGGACCGTCAGCGGGAGTATCTGCTCGACATGATCCCCCCGCGCTCCATATCCCAGTCCATCACCGGACAGAAATGAGCCCCGACGGGACTGCAGACCCCCCCACCCACTTTCGGACGCCCCACCACCCCTCCGTTCTACATCAGAACATCCCGACCCCCCCCCCCCAACACATACACACGCACACACCATCACCCCATCGCATGCAGTGCCTGTCCGTGTGCCTACCCAACTAACCCATAAGAACAGCTCAATCAGTCAGACTTTAAACACCAGACTGTGCATCTCAAACTTCGGTTTCCTACTATAGCAAAGCTCTTTATTGTTATCTCAACTTATTATTGCTGTTGTTATTGCTACTTCTATTATTATCACAGTTATTATTATTAGTATTATTGTTGCTTCTGTTACAGTTACTCTTATTACACTTATTAGTAGGTTTAGTGGTTTTTGCATCTTTTTACGTTCTTCCCCTAATGTTTTTCTTTCGAGAGGGAGGATGCCAGATTGCAGGGTCACTTAAAAAATCTCCAAGCATTTTTGGTTCATTTGAAATCTTCCTCCCTCAGTCGCCCATGTAAAATTAGACTCGTTCTCTCTCACGTCGTATATATGTTCAGAGTTGGAATGGTTAAGGCGTTCTTACCTGCGGAGAGAGAAAGAGAGAGAAGAATCTTTGTAGCGGTACACGTTTGGAAACTACAAAGTCCTCCGAGAACCTTCTGGTTCAGAGAGATTGAGACCGACTCATGTACATTGATCAGATTGATCCTTATGCAGAGTGCTGATCTAGTCAACGTCGAGAAGGCCACACGAACCGAAAGCGGACCTGCGCTGGCACGGATGAGTCTCCTGCTGTCGAATGTACGGAGAAACTGTCGAATCCGAGACCTGTTACCGAGCAGGATCTCTCCCGTGTCTCTCACTTTCACAGGATGCAGTGATGTCGTATAACTCCTTTTGTGGTGACGTCGTGTTTCACTGCACAGCAGAGAATGAAGCCAGAGAGTCCCGTCTCCATGAACTTTTGTCTCTTTTTGATTTTTCTTTCTGCTTGGGTGTTTTTTGGACTTCGTCGGGCGGCGTCTCCGTCTGAAATGGCCGTGTATCTTAAAGGTACTTGCCACGGGAGACGATAATCATTGATATGTCAAATAGGTGGAATTATTGGTAAAAAAAAAACACACAAAAAAAAAAAAAAACGGTTTATGCGTAGATTAACGTGAGTTTTAACAGAAGGCATTGACAAGGATCAATCATCATGTTAAAGCAATGCACATGAGATGCCTCGTTATGGAGGAGCACTTTTCTTCTTAATAAGTGGAAAAAAATGGTTAAACGAAAGAGGATAAGAATGTTTCAGCTTGAGGTATGGATGCCATCGGATGTCTCGGAGAGAGTCGGGAGAAAGACCTGCTTTTTCGACCCCATGTTGAATGAATGCATTTCAAGATACGGTACTTGTGTTTTTTTTAGACATGCAAGCGTTCCTGGAGGCGATGGTGACCGTACAAGCAGTGTTTAGTCGATATGCAGTATTAGGGATTCTGTGCAGGATGACTTCGGACTGCGCCTGTGCTCCGTTTCACCAATGGCTTTCTGAAGGGTTTAACATCTGCTTGTTGTCAAGGAGTTGAGCACTTAACTTTTTTTTTTTTTCCCCTTCCCGATCCTAAGCATTTACCATGACACGTTTGGTTCTTTTGGAAATCAGACTTTAGAGGTCTGTCATGCAGGTCATGTTTAATAGCCGTGAGGAAACTCGAAGCTATGAAGTGGTGAATTATTGGAAATGAATCTGTGCACATGCGTCTTTCTGTCATGTGAATAGTCACTGATCCTTGCAGTTTTTTTTTTTAAACTGTGTCCTGTATAACGCCACTGATTTGTGGTGGAACGATGCAACTTTTGAACAAAACAATTTTGAAGCTACCTTGGATTAAATTTTCAGGTGCAATATTAGATGATAGGATGTTTACATTTTTATTCATTTTTTTTTCCTTTTTTTTCCTGGTTATGAAAATAAATCAGTCCCTTTTACTCATTCTGTTCAGCCTTTGATAGTATCTTTTCTCAATTTTATGATCTGTATTTTTTTTTCTTTTTTCTTTTTTTAAATGAACGTAGGGTGTTTATAATAACTCATTTCTCTCTCCTGCTCTCTCTTGTAGACTATATTAGATGCATCCATATACCTGTGTTCATGTATTTACGAGAAAGTTGGATTTTGAAGTTTAACTTCCTTTTTGACTCCTCGATTAAGTTCCATTTTTGTTTGGTTGTTTAATTTCAGCTGTTTCTTAAAAAAAATAAAAGAAAGAAAAAAGGAGAAAAAAAATCAAATTTAATCAAACAAAAAAAAATGTATGAACAGATGATGACACGATATTTGCTAGGTCAGAAGTAATAATGACTTATTGTACATATGCTTTTTTCTCCCTTGAATTAAAAATAATGAAATGAAATTAAAATGGTTGTATATTGTGTAGAAAAGCAAACAAAAAGCCATGAATATTGTGAAGCTTGTCATTTCGTTTTGTGATCACTGTGTATTATTGTGTAACAAATGTGCAAAATGTATGGGATTATACTTCTCTTGTTTTTGAATGAGCTCTTTAGATGCATTTTCTCCCCGGCTGTACGTTTTTTGTAGTATGTAGTATTTGCAGAGGAAAAAAAAGTTCATTGTTCTGGTGGATCCATCCATTCTGTAGTCTTTGGACTAAGACATGATGGGACAGTCTCGTATGTTACGTTTTTTTTTTTTTTTTTTTTTACCACAATTTATTTCAAGCATTGATGTTCAGTGAATAAGTTCCTTTCCCTAATGTCCCACACAAAGTGTTGGTCTTACAGAACATGGACTGGATAAAACATTTGACAGTATTAGTCCTCACCTGACCAAATCCAAAGCGATCATCATAAATATTAAAATCAAAGCATGCTAATGCTTTAGATAAATAACTGGGTGCAGAAAACCCTACAGGGGAGATTGTGTACATTTGTTTTCTATTGCTTACAGTACAAACTTTCTTCAATATATCCCTATTTTTTTTTTCTTTCTAGGGAAAAATCACAATGCTCTTATTATTATTTTCTTTTCATGGAAGATTGTATACATTGTATACGATGAAGAAAAAAAAACTTGTTTGTTTGTTTTTGACTGTTCCAATGCTTCTTGCCTTCAGCCTTTAAATCATAAGAAATCATAAGAAAAAAATGGACAATTCGCACACATGCAAGTTTTGATCCTAAGGTTTGTGACTATTAGATATACTTTTTCAAGATTCATGTCATGGAATCACTGTCCATAATTCTCTGACTGGACAATCAGCTTTTCTGGAGTTCTAACGCTGGGGTTTACTTCTCTCTTCAATTTTTTTTTTTCTCTACAATTTTTCCCCCCTCTCCCTGATTTTTATTTGTTGCAAGTCTCTTTTTTTTGTTATTGTTGAAGTGGGAGAGAGGGCTTTTGGTCATCATTTTTTTTCTGAATTTCATCTGAACTTTCATATATTTTTAAATAGCTGCAATTTACCCAGTTTGAATTTTAAAGCAAATGGCAATATGTTGAAATCCGTTTGTAAAAGAAAACTATGATTAATTAAATTGTGTACAGTAAAAAAAAAAAAAAAGTACTGGAGATTGGCTTATTGATTTTAGTCAAGGAAAAGTGCTTTTTGTCAAGTTTTTATTTTCATTTAGAACATTAATCCAGACCTTTTGCACATCCTTGATATTTAACTGTCTAAAATGGAGATGAAAAAATGCTGTTTGATTACTGCCGGTTGATTAACAACAATTATGCATTGACTGAAAAAAAAATAAGCTAATTTTGGAGGAAATAACTTTGTAATATTTATCACTTGCAAGCTATGTTTAATAAAGGATGGAACAGTTTATCTCGGAGTGTGTTAACATTTGTCCGCAGCTCATTTATGGTGTTATTTGTTACATTTTTAGTTGGCCTATTTTGCCTTTAGTATTTTTTGACGTTTTACTTTTTTTTAAATTATTATTTTGTATTTTAAGACCTCTCTTTTAAATGTTTAAAGTGATAGTTCGGGCATAAAATTGTGTTATTATTCTCCCTCATGTCGTTCCAAACACATTCATCTTTGAAACTGTCCATCTATTGACAGCTACGCAACCACTTTGACGCTTCAAAAAGTTCATAAAGAGATATAGAATATGTAATCTATGTAATCTCTTAGAGTAAATCTAATCTATATGAATTGAGCATTTAGTCTGAATTTTCTGAAGAGACTAAATCGCTTTATATGATGAACAGATTTAATGTAGACTTTTATTCACACAAATATTCATCAGCATGTGCAAACCAATGAGGTATTGAGGCCCATGAATGTTTGTATCTATAGAACGAATGTTTATTTATACGCCAAAAATAGTTTTTGCGTCTATATGACACGCCGTTAAATTCCCCACCCCCTCCCTCCTTAAACCGAGAAAAATTGAATTTTGTTGTATTTACGATCACTGAGAAATGTTCTATTATTTAAAATGCAAAAAAAAAAAAAAAAAAAAAAACATTTATTATTTTCAAGGTGAAAAGGATTCATTTGCCTGGATCCACGCCGAAGAAAACGTCTAAATGTCACATTTTTAATGAAGCAGCCTAAATATTCCACTTTGGAAAATGCGTAGCAGGTTTTCATTAAACCGAGAAAAATGGAATTTTGTTTACGTTTACGATCACTGAGAAATGTTCTATTATAAAATGCAAAAAAAAAATAATAATAATAAAAAAAATAAAAAAACATATATTATTTTCAAGGTGAAAAGGATTCTTTTGCCTGGATCCATGCCGAAGAAAACGTCTAAATGTCACATTTTTAACCCATTCAGACCCTGTGTCCATTACAATGGACATCACATGTCAGCCCCCTTTTTTTTAACTTCTGGAGCATTTCACCTAGTTTAAAGCCTGCAGTCCATGAGATTGGACGTTTGTCATCCAATTAAATGCCAGAAAAGCTCTGCATGTGGTAATTATATATAAAAAACACTTCATTGAAGAGAAGCATGTCAGCACTTCACTCCAAACACAGAAGCAAGCAACATTTTCTAAGTTATATTTACATTTTGTATATATTTTTTCCAGTATTTCATGGTTTGTATGTAAAATAGAAAGATTGAACTTATTAATTAAAGTTAAAAATCGACTTTAGAATTGCACATTTTAAATCAGGATTTTTTTAAATGTGTCTGTCCATTAGAATGGACAGTAGGTTTGAAAGCCTGTTACTGAAGTCACATTTTCAGTAATGCTGATTGAAATTTCTTTTATATATAAAAAAAATAATATCACAGTACCGATACATTTTTGAATTTTTTTCATGTGCAGAATATTCAGTTCTGAAGTGCTTGAACATATAGCTGATGAAAATATCTCAGATGTTGACTTTATGTGGAGTAATGAGGAAGATGAAGATGTAAGAAAAATATCCATATTTAAAACTTTATATAGTAAAATAACTTCTGGCCAAAAGAACGTATGGATTTGAGGCATGGTTAACACCGTTAACGTGTCACCTGTATTGTTGAGTTTGCTTTACTAATTGAGGCACCATCTTGTGGTTACATGAAAACACAGAAATCCAACAGGACAAACCAACATGCTTAAAGATAGGACTTTATTCAAAAGTGTATCTGTAAAAGCAAAAGAAAAAAACTAAGTTTGTGAGGAAAAAAACAAAATATTTGTTGTTCTTTACATGTTTAGTTTATGTTATTATTTAGCTTACATATAATTTGTTAGAGATACTGGAATTTGAATTTCTTAGTTTGTTCTTTGCCAGGAGTGTTTTTATTTAACCACAAGAGGGGACTTAAATAAGTAAAGCAAACACAGGTCACACGGAGAATGGCCTGACTGAATAATTTCATTAGGATGCCTTGTGATGTATGAAAATGTACAAAAAGTGTTTTTCAGCCCAGACAGTATTCATGTCCAAGGCCTTGATGAAAGTATAAATTGAAACGTTGGCTTTGATACAGCATACATTAATACGTTTTTAAAATCAAACAGTTAAGACTCAAAATCATAAATAGTCAAGATGCTTCTTCATAATTTAACTTATGACATTTGTGCCATTTTAATGCAATTTACTCTGCCTATTTAAACTTCTAAAAATATATGTGGACTGTGAAGATGAGCTAATTGATACAAACAAAAAGTCCTTTTTAAACTCCCCTTAAACCACAGAGCAAATAAATAAGTCACAGCTTGTTTTTTGGTGTTTTAACTTAAATCTACTGTCACACTATATTTAACACACTGGTTGGCGAAAAATATAACATTAGCTATAATTGAACACACACATCTGCAAAAACCACCATCTGTCATCCAGAAAATAGCGTTTTATATTTCATGGCGATGTATGAGTGGAAATAAGGTGTGGCCCCTTTAAGGGTGCGCGCAGTAGGTACGGCGTAGCATACGCACAGACGCGTCCCATACCGCGTACCCTTCCGCGTTGCCTGACGCGCACCTCTTCAAAAATGTAACTACACGTCGCGACGACGCGGACCGCAAGATCGGTGATTGGTCGGCTTGGTAGCGTCGTATTTCCTCCTACGCATTTCAGCACGTATTCTCACGCATTTCCACACGTACCATCTCCTCCGACGTCTTCTGTCATTTCTGCCTTTCAGTTTTAGTAATTTCACTAAAATGAACTGTTTTTCCACCCCAATAAAAGCTCCAACTCCAACATGATCCACTCTCTTTCAGTCGCTATTGCTTGTAGTAACCTAGCCGCGAGGAATCTAAACACAGTGGAACATTAAAACCCTCCGCCGCCACCTAGCGTTTCGGAGCAATACTGCAGAGCAACCAATACCTGAACGCAGAAGTATAAATGCTCACGACGGCGTCGCCTACGTGCGAAGCCAACGCCGTACACTACGGCGTACCCTCGACGCAGAAGTATAAATTGGCCTTTACCGTCTGCACTCTCTCAGGATGCTAATCTAGCTAGTACAGTGTAGTTCGACTTTTTCAGTTTTCCTACACATTCACAGGGAACTACGATATAACTAAACATTAAATTACCATACCTCTCAATCTACAGATTCCCGCGTTTTTATCGTTGTATTTGTTGCTGTTGTAAGACTGTCCACCTGTTTCACGGAGCAGCAGCTTGTGTTGACGAACTTGACCAACTATATCAGATCTGGGGTGGCCACAGGGGTGGCCAATGAGCTTTCAGGATAGAATCGCAGGATTTCCCCCTAGAATCGCCAGTGCCTCTATCAGAATCAGAGTTTTGAGAAGATTGGGGATACTTAATTTTTCGCCCAAAAAAAAAAAAAACATAAGGGGTAACATGTTTTTTTTTTCTGGTCGAAATTTTGAATTTCGATATCTCAGCTCTGGAAGGGTCTAGAGCCTCCATTGTTGCACTCAGGTCTAAGTCTCATGGCCCTCTATCAGAATCCAGAGTTTTGAGAAGATTAGGGATACTTAATTTTTCGCCCAAAAAAAAAAAAAAAAAAAAAAAAAGTAAGGGGTAACACTGTCGTTTTTTTTACGGGTCGCAATTTTGATTTTCGATATCTCAGCTCTGGAAGGGTCTAGAGCCTAAATTTTTGCACTCAGGTTTAAGTCTCATGGCCCTCTATCAGAATCCAGAGTTTTGAGAAGATTGGGGATACTTAATTTTTCGCCCAAAAAAAAAAAACGTAAGGGGTAACACTGTAGTTTTTTTTTCTGGTCGAAATTTTGAATTTCGATATCTCAGCTCTAGAAGGGTCTAGAGACTCAATTTTTGCACTCAGGTCTAAGTCTCATGGCCCTCTATCAGAATCCAGAGTTTTGAGAAGATTAGGGATACTTAATTTTTCGCCCAAAAAAAACGTAAGGGGTAACACTGTCGTTTTTTTTTTTTTCGGGTAGAAATTTTGAGTTTCGATATCTCAGCACTGGAATGGTCTAGAGCCTCCATTGTTGCACTCAGGTCCACGTCTCATGGCCCTCTATCAGAATCCAGAGTTTTGAGAAGATTGGGGACACTTAATTTTTCACCCCCCAAAAAAAACATAAGGGGTAACACTGTCGTTTTTTTTTTCTGGTCGAAATTGTGAATTTCGATATCTCAGCTCTGGAAGGGTCTAGAGCCTCCATTATTGCACTCAGGTCTATGTCTCATGGCCCTCTATCAGAATCCAGAGTTTTGAGAAGATTGGGGATACTTAATTTTTCGCCCAAAAAAAAAAACGTAAGGGGTAACACTGTCGTTTTTTTTTCTGGTCGAAATTTTGAATTTCGATATCTCAGCTCTGGAAGGGTCTAGAGCCTCCATTGTTGCACTCAGGTCTAAGTCTCATGGCCCTCTATCAGAATCCAGAGTTTTGAGAAGATTAGGGATACTTAAATTTTCGCCCAAAAAAAAAAAACGTAAGGGGTAACACTGTCGTTTTTTTTACGGGGTCGAAATTTTGATTTTCGATATCTCAGCTCTGGAAGGGTCTAGAGCCTCCATTGTTGCACTCAGGTCTAAGTCTCATGGCCCTCTATCAGAATCCAGAGTTTTGAGAAGATTGGGGATACTTAATTTTTCGCCCAAAAAAAAAAAACGTAAGGGGTAACACTGTCGTTTTTTTTTCTGGTCGAAATTTTGAATTTCGATATCTCAGCTCTGGAAGGGTCTAGAGCCTCCATTGTTGCACTCAGGTCTAAGTCTCATGGCCCTCTATCAGAATCCAGAGTTTTGAGAAGATTAGGGATACTTAATTTTTCGCCCAAAAAAAAAAAAACGTAAGGGGTAACACTGTCGTTTTTTTTTCGGGTCGAAATTTTGATTTTCGATATCTCAGCTCTGGAAGGGTCTAGAGCCTCCATTGTTGCACTCAGGTCTAAGTCTCATGGCCCTCTATCAGA